AGTATATCGGCGTTTTTATGCAAAGCGCTCTTTGTCGCAAGTCCAGTGGCTCTGTCTGTCAAGAATAGTTTTAGCACAGTTTGTTTTAGTTTTAGTTTAGCTATTGATCAAGCGGGACATGGATGCAATGGACGCAATTGAATTCTATTTCTATTAATTGGATGTACTGCCCATCGCCTCTTACGTTTTCTATTACATATTTTTTTATAGCACAAATACAATATACACGGATCCATTTTCATGTACTTCACTGACTACTGTGTGGCATGAAACTGGCGACAACTGATAGAATACGCGTGCATAAAATGGAGCAGAAATATGCCGCGTTTTTCTCAATTTCGCGTTAAGAGGAGAAAAACGCGTGCATAAAAGAGGTCTAACAGTTGCGTCGATCCACCAATATCGTAAGTATTCTAGATTTTTATTTTAAACATTATTTTTTAGCATAGCGACATTACCTTAATATATTTTTTTTATATATTTTTTTAGAATAGCCGACATGACAGCAAGTGATGCCTTCGGCTGCATCGATCCACCAATATCGTAAGTAATCTAGATTTTTCTTTTAAACTATAATTTTTTAGCATAGCGACATTACCTTAATATTTTTTAGAATAACCGACATGACAGCAGGTGATGCCTTCGGCTGCATCGATCCACCAATATCGTAAGTAATCTAGATTTTTATTTTAAACTATTATTTTTTAGCATAGCGACATTACCTTAATATTTTTTATATTTTTTAGAATCACCGACATCACAGCAGCCGATGCCTTCGGCTGCGTTGATCCAACAATATCGTAAGTAATCTAGATTTTTATTTTAAACTATTATTTTTTAGCATAGCGACATTACCTTAATATTTTTTATATTTTTTAGAATCACCGACATCACAGCAGCCGATGCCTTCGGCTGCGTTGATCCAACAATATCGTAAGTAATCTAGATTTTTATTTTAAACTATTATTTTTTAGCATAGCGACATTACCTTAATATTTTTTTTATTTTTTAGAATCACCGACATCACAGCAGCCGATGCCTTCGGCTGCGTTGATCCAACAATATCGTAAGTAATCTAGATTTTTATTTTAAACTATTATTTTTTAGCATAGCGACATTACCTTAATATTTTTTTTATTTTTTAGAATCACCGACATCACAGCAGCCGATGCCTTCGGCTGCGTTGATCCAACAATATCGTAAGTAATCTAGATTTTTATTTTATGTTCTATTAACATAGTCTTATCTTCTATATTTCAGACACGAGGGCCCGTGTAAGTAAAACCATTTTTTAATAAATCAACAGCTGTGCTAATATTTTCTTTTGTTTTCTGTATTTCAGATATTAGACCATATGATCCATCAGTTCCACCACCGAGGCACTTCATTAGAAGGTTCTCGGTGGATGGAACTCGATATATATGTTATATTTAAAAAGTAAAAATAAAAAATTAAATTTATACTTAGTTTTAATTTATAAAAAGTGTAAAGTGGTTTTATAATAATTCTGTGTAGGTACGTGGAAAGTGTGTACGTATTAGGACGCTATAAAAAAATCTATAAGGGTAAGTGTTTTTATCCTGTTTATTTTCTAATGGAATTAAAAATAACTATTTACTTAATCTTTATATATCCCAAATTTACTCAAGAAAAAATTATAAAATAATTTATTTTTTATTAACTTGTAAAGTTACCTTGCATGCATTAATTATATATTATATATGTATCTAAACAATATCAAATAAAAGTAATTTAAGCCTCATAGGAAAATGAATCAATATTTGGTTCGTTATTACGGCATTATATTTACAACTGGAGATGCTAATAAACCCGAGATAATCACGTATTATAATCATACCAAAGGCGGGGTTGACAAATTATTTTTAACATACAATTGCGAACGAAACACAAGACGATAGTCCACGGTCATATTCTATAGCATGTTAAATGTAGCTGGAATAACAGACAGACAAAATATTTTCGAAAAGTTTTGGCGTAAAATGAATTGGCCCCAGAGAAAAGTATACGTTGCAAGCCTTGTCGACATAGTTTCCACCAAAGACAAGAAAAAACAGTTAAATGATGTATCGCCTAGATCGGATACTTTAATTTGTTACTTACTATTCTGTAAATGCTTACGAAGTTTTAATTAAAGAAATTCCCGTTGACGCTCCCGATGGTGACGTATATATTCCATATCAATCAACAGATGATATTTTCATTCCAGCCTCCAAAAGTACATGCCACAATGGTTATGCTACTGTACAAATTTATAATATGTCTGAAGAAGCTCAATTTGTCGAATTTGAAGAACCCCTTTCCGTTGTACCTTTTCTAGAAAATTATGATTCCTTTGATTATGATATTAACCCATTATCGCCCACAGATACCATATGGTATCACAAAACATTCCTGCGATATGGACCGTATTGCGACACATACATAAAAGTTAAAATAGCGAACACCCCCACCAATGGTCGGCAGATATGCAACTTTGAATTTACATCACGTGCAGTCGCGCTGCAAACGTGTTTGGGGTAA